TGCTGGTCGGCATGAAGGCGGTGAAGCGGCGCAAGGAGCAGGGTGAGTGCGAGCGATGGAGGAGCAGCGGCGGGGCCGCGTCTCGTGTTCAGGCGATGTATTTTTTGTACTCAGGCGATGTATTTTTTATATTTAGGTGTATTTTATCCACTCAGGCATCGCTCGGTATCACAGCTTTGCAGAGGGTCACTCCGTGCCTGTGTGTACGGAAGTGCTGTGGAAAATTTTCAAAAATTAAAAGCAAAATTCAGCGTTTGAAAGTTCTGAGGTTAGAATAGTTGTGTTTGGCTGCATGCGCTGTACCAGGCGATGCAGCTCAGACGGGGAGCTGGGTGTTGTGGGCACATTGGGTTCCCTCTGTGAGGCACGTGAGCTTTGCCCTCTCCTACAGGAAATGCCCATACCTTTCCTTTTCATGGATTTACTGTTGAAAACGGAGATATTACAGCTCTTAGGGTGTGTTCAGCTTGCAAAGGATGCTGTTTTTTCCTATTTCCCACCAGGCCAAGTGGGAAATCGCCTTTCTCTCTTTATCCCCCCTTTCTTTTTAAACAAAAATGCAATCAGATAACAATAAAGAAAGATATTATGTTTCAGAGGAATTTAGTGATATATTTGATTTTGTCCAAAAGGAACGCTTTTTGGAAGCCATGTGCACATTGGGTTCTGCGTGACAGGTGTTGGTGGATCTTGACCTGGCAATGCCCTGCCCATGACCCAGTGTGGTGCCTGACTTGGCTGCTTCCAAGGCTCACCGGGGAAGCAGCAGGGATTGTGACATGGACGTGTTTGATCTCCTCTTGTGTTTTGTAGAGCTAGAGAAGGAACGAAACCGAAGCATTGGGAAGCCACTGCTGGGAGGGCCCTTCTCGCTCGTGAGCCACGAGGGGCAGCCCAGAACCAGCAAGGACTACATGGGCCAGTGGGTGCTGATCTACTTTGGCTTCACTCACTGCCCTGACGTCTGTCCCGATGAACTGGAGAAAATGATTGCAGTGGTAGATGAAATTGGTATGAGAATTCAGGGGATTCAGTGGGTGTAGAGGTCCTGTTTATGGGAGGGTCAGGTTTGTTCTAATGAAATGTCACAAATGGTGATAACTGATGATCTTCTTTAAAAAATGCTGTTGGCTGCTATTCAGTAGTTGAATTAATTGCTAAATGATCCATAGATCAATCTGCCTGTCACTAGTGTCTGACATGACAGCACTGGTCTTTCCATAACAGGAGACTTGGGAATAAAACATGGTGGTGGCAGATCACAGGGAATGCACCTGCATTATATTTTTGCCAAGAAGTGACTGTGAGGTGTGTTAGGATTTTTTTCCCTCTATTTTATTCATCCTGAGAACAAATCTCTGTGAGGGTCTCTCCTGAAGCAGAACTACTGTACTGCGAAATGGAGGGAGGGGGAAGGCCGTGTGTTATGAGTTTCTCAGCCTGCAGGCCCTGAAGAATTATGGGGCAGGGATAGTGGTAAACCCAGCCAAGTGGGAAAACAGACTAAAGAGAAGGAAATACAGCCAAGGCTTTGGCTGGAACATGAGGGAAAGAGCCTGAATTGTGTCTTCACATTTCCTCCTGTTCTCCCATCCCAGCATGCTTCCCTTGTGTGCGCCACTGTGCTTCCAAATGTGCATCACACCACCACGTCTTCTGCAGCACAGCCAGTCTGTCATCCCTCCTGAGCAGGGCAGGGGCTCGGGGGCGGGGGAGCTGGAAGCTCCCAGCACAGACACAGAGCATTGCGTCTCATAGCATTTGAATCATTCACAAATTAGATAGATTAAGCTGCACAAAATGGCCTTTTTAGTTCCTTAGGGTGGGCTTGGCCTGATGTTACTTGGCTGTGAGTTTGTTTGAAGGGAGATGAAAAATGATTTCTGGTTTTATAAAATAAACAATAATTGTTAATGTCACAGAACAAATTCCATCTTTGCCTAATCTGACCCCACTCTTCATCACCATCGATCCTGAGAGGGACAACCAAGAAGCCATTGCCAAATATGTTAAAGGTATTACTGCTTTCTTTCTCTGTGTCTCATAGCATGTAATACAGAGCACTGGAAAGGAGCCTCTTGAAGGGATTCTTTTCACTAAAATGCGTACGTCTTGCTTCTATCTAGAATTTTCTCCAAAGCTGGTCGGGTTGACTGGTACCAGGGCACAGATTGACCAAGTGGCTAAAGCTTATCGTGTGTACTACAGCGAGGGCCCCAAGGATGAGGACAACGACTACATAGTAAGTAAGAGTAGGACCTTTGCCTACTGAAAGGCTGTGGATAAGAGCAGCATATAGATTTTAAAACCAGCTGTTGGATCTGTGCTGAAGTTCCAGGTGACAGAGCCCTTGTTGCACTGATCTGTTAAGCTGTTTGTCTCAGTCAGAACCAAAGTGTCCTCTTACAAGCTCAGAACCTCACTGAAGCATGTTCAAAACGTGTCCCAGCCCAGGCCTGCAGACAGTAGCACAGGAACCAGTAAGGCTGGCAGTTAGTTCAATGTAATGTGTTTGACTGGCTGCCTTCCTGTGTGCTCCAAAGAGAAAATGGAACTTGGAAATTAAGGTGTCTTAGTTTAACAAGATTACAACTTAGAAATTAAGAAACTTCAGGTGGAAGTGTGGAAAAGGAAAAGAACAGCTTTTTATTAACAAAATCTGAATAAACAACAAATGATGCAATCAAAAACTTTCAGAAGAAACAAAACAAAGTCCCAATTTTCTTGGGAGGGGGAGAAACCTGCAGCAACCCGGGGAAGGAAGAGAAAAACTGAAGGCAAAATGTCCTGGGAGCAGAAACAGATGAGTGGGGGGAAACGGGACCCTAGGAAAAAGTTCCGACATCTCTTTTCAAACCTATGACATAAGGAAATAGGAAGTAGGAGAAATGAGAAGTAAAAGTGAGTAAGAACTCATTCTCTGCCAAACTGACACCAAGGAATGGAGTCTTCCTGGCAAGAGACTTGGATATCTCCCTGCAAATACTGTGAGCATCTTCTTCCTGTGACAAACAACCTGCAAGAGAGAGCATGTTCATTAATGCTATATTAAGTGGGAATAAAATACATAAGTAACAGTGTGAAGGAAGAAAATGAGGTTTAAGTGAGGCTGAACTGGGTAGTCAAACTTCCACTTCTCTGCAAGGGACAGGATTGATTATAGGGCTCTGAGCTGCTGCCAAGACCTTCCTGTCTTGCCAAATTCTGAGCAAGCTGGAAGAGTAAAGCAGGTACAGGTGATAGGAAGAGTGAGGTTACATCTTACATGATCTGCCTTGTTTTTTTCTTCATTACAAGAACTGAGGACATCAGAAGAAACTAAAAACAGGTTCAAAAGGAAAGGTAATGATTCTCATTGCAGTGAGCACATGAGGAGTGGAATCCCTTGGTACAGGTGCAAATGGTGGAAGTCCACAGGGAGACTTGTTCTTAGTCTTTGGAAAAAACAATCTTTTGAGGGTTATGACATGCACAGAAATCTTGTGTAGTTCAGGAAGTCTGTGAGATGACAGTGTTTGGAAACTGGGAGGTAATAGAGGAAGGTAACGTATTTTTGGTGCTGATTTTATACTCTTTCTTTAAAGCGACTGTTGTTGGCCACTGTTTGGGGTGGGATGCTGAGGCAAATTGAATTTGGTCTAATTCAGTATTGTTGATTCTTAATCTGTCTTAAAACTACCTGAGTCCCGCAAAAAAATTATCCAAAAAGATTGGGGGAGCAAAAACAGTGGTGCATGAAAAGAAGGAGCAAGAGCAACACATGATCTCAGTGAAGAGAAGATGAAATCACTGGTGATGTCCACTGCTCTGCATCACTGAGGTGGGAGATCAATAACTTGTTTTCACTTGAAATGGCAACTGGAAAGATACAGAAGCCTGTGACTAAGATACTGTATTTGAATGGAGAAACTGAATGACAATTTAAATCAATATGAAATCAATCTAAAGATACTGCCTAATATCAGACTTTTAGAAGGGGGCTTGTGGGAATGCAATAACAGGTTATAGGAACAGGATTGGCAAAGGATGCTTGCTCAGGAGAGGGAAAGAACTCCATAGAACCTGACACTAAATAAGTGAACTGAAGTTGAGGAGAGCTGATGGAAAGAGGCCAGCAAAGCTGAATGAGTGCTGGTGCTTAGCAAGTGAACTA